AGCCGGGGCCCAGGAAAGGGCCATGGAGGGACCCGGGGGGAGGGGCCACGCTGGGGCCCAGGGAGGGGCCACGGAGGGACCCAGGTGGTGAGGCCCGGAGAAGCCAGGGCCCAGGAAGGAGCTAGCCAACCCAAGCCTGGTCACTGCTCCACTGGGGGGGACTGAGCATCACACTCTGTGGGGTTGGCTCACCCCAGCTGAGCTCCTTCCTCACAGTGGGGCAAGGGGCCTGGACAGAGCTCAGGGCTCATGCAGGAAGTAAGAGCCTGGGTAGTGGCTATAACCAAGGTGACAGCCACCAAACGGACTCCACAGGCCACTCTGGGTGTGTCAGGGGAAGGAAATTCTGGGCAGGGGACAGGATGTGACGAGGGGCCCGGGGGACTGGCCTGGGCCTGAGAGCTTTCTAGGAATGGGGGCTGCCTTGAACGACCACCCCACACCTGCTGACCAAGCCCTTCCTGTGCCCGCAGAGCTCTGACCTGGAGGACGGCTCCCCCAGGAGCTCCCAGGAGGTGAGTGCAGCCAGCCTTGGGGGACCTCCTGCAAGACCATGCCCCCACCAACACTCACGAGCCAGGGGCCCCCAAGGCCCCGCTTGCTTAGGGGTAGGGGCAGATGTGGACAGTGCTAGGCCTGGCCTCGCCCGGTGGGCCGCACGGCACAAGTTCCCAGGAACCTCTGGGAGGTGGGACCCCGGACGCGGTGCGGGGAGGGGTGACCAATGACCCCACTCTCTTTGGCAGCTCTCGCTGCCCCGGGGCCTGGAGGACGGTGCCCAGCTGTCAGACAAAGGTGAGGAAGTGAGCTTAGGTGCTCGCACACACGGAGGGCGGGCCCAGCCTCAGGCCTGGTCTTCGGCATTGAGTTGAAGCTCCTCCTCATTGCCCCGAAGCCCAGTACTGGGAGCTGTTGCCCATCTGTCCCTGATGCCTGAGCCCAGCAGGAGGCACTGGTAGGGTGTCTCCAGCGGCCGAGCCCTCACCTCACAGGTAGTGGAACAGAAGCCAGGAGGAAGCACCCGGCCTCAGGTGCCCAGCCAGCTCCCAAAAGCCCATCCAAACCAGGGCCTCGCTGGCGTGCTCCACGTCTGGTGGTCAGTGCCCGTCAGTGGTGTGTGGAGTCCCCACTGTGGCCCAGGGCTCATAGTCCACAAGAGCCTCCTTGGTCCCCTGGAGAGTGGGAGGCAGGATGGAAAGGGAGGGCCGTAAGTGCAGGAGGCCCACGGTTGGCCAGCTGTGTTTGGGGCTGGGTGCAGGCACCTTGAAGTGAGGGTCACAGTGCAGGGTCTGCGCTCATCTGAGGACAGGACTAGGGAGCGAGGTGTAGCAGTGACTGTGTGCCCGCGACCAGAGTGATGGCTGGGTAATGACAAGGGCTCAGTAGGAGGAACTGATGGGGGTGGGGTGGGGGTGGAGCTGGGGTGTCCAGGAAGGCCCTTGTGCTGTGTTGGGGCCCCTGGCGAGGGAGGAAGGGAGACCGGCCTGGGAGCTTTCTTGGGAAGTCAGTCAGACTTCCTCAGTGTCAGGCATGACCCCCACTTCTGAGACAGGAAGGGGAAGAGTAGACAGCAAAATGGAGAAGTGAAGGCCGCCTGCCCACTGCCCAGAAGACACGGGGGCAGGGATGGCAGGGACCCGGAGGCGCCAGCACAAGTGGGAGGGTCAGCGGGAGGAGGGAGCTGGGTGGGCCTGCTCCCAGCAGCCCCTGCCCTGGCGGCCTCCGGGAGCAAGGACTGGGCCTGTTCCCTGGTCCATAAAAGGAGCAGTTCTCATTGGATCAACGAGGGGACCCCAGGGGCTCTTGTGAAACCAGAGCCCCGAACGTGCTGCAGAATCCAGGGTGAGGCATGGAGGCCTGTGTAGCGCGGGTCCCGGCCGTAGGCGGGGCTGACAGACTCGACTCTGCTTCCCTCCAGGTGGCCCGTCAGAGGGGCGGAGCCTGGAGCAGCCCTTCGTGACTCTGCAGAAGGACCGGCTCTCGCTGACCCCCAACGTAAGGCCACCTGGGGTCCCTGATGCCCATGGGCCCTGCCAGGGCTCAGGCCTCACGCCCAGGCACAGGGTCCCTGTGCCTCTCCGGGAGTCCTCCCTCTGGGTGACCGTGATCACGCCGACCACGGGCCTCCTGGTGGCTGGGTTCTTCAGCCTGTGGCCCTGGTGACCCCTGAGCAGGGGGTGGGGCGGGCAGTGATCACAGGAGCCCCCAGCTCCGTGGCATCGAGCGGTTGGCATGAGGTGAGCCCTGCTCTCTGGCATGAAGGCACAGGCTGAGGAATGGGCAGGGCGGGAGGTGGGGTGCTACCGGTCAGGGGCTGGCTTCTTGGTGGTCTCTGCAGGAGCCCCACTGCCCGTGACGCTGAGCCCACAGGCTCACCATGGCACAGGAGCCTGGCCTGCCGTCCAAATCCACTAACTCAGTGGTGCCGAGCAGTGGGGGCCAGCTGGGCGCTGCGCTGATGGTGCTGGCCTGGCCTGAGCGGTGGGCCCAGAGCCTGAGCCTCCCCTTCTCCAGGACACAGGCCTGAGCTTTGGGGAGCCTCCGGAGAAGGAGCGGCGTCGCCTGAAGGAGAGCTTCGAGAACTACCGCAGGTGCAGGGGCTCAGCGGGCTCGGTCAGGGCAGCGGGCAGGGGTGAAGGGCAAGGTGCCTCCTGCAGACACCTGCAACGTGTGCGTCCCCACAGGAAGCGAGCACTCCGCAAGAATGGCTCGCGGCTGGGGGAGGTGGACTGGGGGAACACCACTGGCAGCGACAACACGGACACGGAGGGCTCCTAGCCACCAGGGCTGTGGCCACGCACGTGGCAGCCCAGAGCATCCCCTGGGAGTTGCAGGCCTGCAGCTGCCCGGCCCTCGGGGTGCACGTGGCCAGCCCCATCCCAGGAGGAAGAACGAGGCCACCCGCCGGATGCTGCGTTGGGCCGAGTGCCAGCACGGACAGCTGACCAGCTGCTTGCTGACCCAGCCACAGGAAATGCCTGCAGTCCCCTGAAAGCCCGCCCCGCGCAGGGCTGTCGCTTTGGGATACGCCAATCTGTTTCCGTTTTGGTGCACGAATCTCTGTAATTGTTAAAAGGCTTACAGTATTTGTATCGTGGAACACATGCGTTGTAAAAACTCAGGAAGCGCAGCTAAGTAAATACAAAGGCACAACAGAGTCGTGGGTGTTTGCGCGCCCCCGAGACTCACCGTACCCAGCCGGGTACTCCCTCCTTCCCGGCGTCACCCAGCAGCCACCCAGCAGCCGGAAGGGCAGGGTGACTGCCGTCCCACCCGAGGAGATGCTGCTCCGACCCTGGACCCGCACGTGTATGCAGGGTGCACCCGCCCGCCAGGGGGCAGCAGAGCCCGCCGCCCCATGCCCGTCAGCCGGAAGTCGCGGAGAGCTGCTTCCGTCCTGTGCCCGCTTTCAAGATGGCGGGGGGGCGGGCCCGGGGGCGGGCGGGATGCTGCGGGTAGTGCTGGGCCGTGCGCCGGTGTTGCTGAGCCGCGCGCGGCCCCGGGACCCCAGTCTGAGGCAGCTGTGGGCGCGCGGGTCCCTTCTGGAGGCCACAGGGAAGGGGCGGGCCTGGGCCTGGCGCTGGCGGCGCTTGAGTTCCGAGCCTGGGCTAGGGTCTGGGGCCGCGCTAGGGCGCGTGGAGTCGGCGCACTACCAGCTGGTCTACACCTGTAAGGTGAGTGTGCAGCGTAGGCCGGGCAGGCCCACACCTGGCGCTGGAGGAAGGGCCGGGCCCGCGGGGGGTGGGGTGGGGGCGCGGAGCCAGTCTTCGGGGGCAAGGCCTTCCAGGAAGAGGGCGGGGCCGGGACTGTGGGGAGGGTGGATCTGAACCTCAGGAGGGGGGCGTGGCTATAGGGAGAGGCGGTGCTTCCTCTGAGCTGGTCAGCTGTGTGTTGGCCACTGGGAGGGGCGGAGCTAACGCTCGGAAGGGGCGTGGCTTCCCAGGAGAGGGGCGGGACTAGGACTGGGGAGGGGTGGAGCTGGTCCTTTGGAGGGGCAGGCCTGGGCAGGGCCTCATGCCACTCTCTGCTGGTTAGGTCTGTGGGACCCGCTCCTCCAAGAGCATCTCCAAGGTGGCCTACCACCAGGGTGTGGTCATTGTGACCTGCCCTGGCTGCCGGAACCACCACATCATTGCCGACAACTTGGGCTGGTTCTCAGACCTGGACGGGAAGAGGTGAGGCCGTGGAGCGGAACGGGGGTCTGGGGGTCCTGGGTCTGGAGCCCTACCCAGCAGGATGGGAAGAGGTGAGGCCATGGAGCGGGACGGGGGTCTGGGGTCCTGGGTCTGGAGCCCTACCCCGCAGGACACCCCAGCCTTGTTGGCCTCCCGGGTGTTCCTTGCCTCTGCAGCCCAGCTCCTGGACCCCACTAGGAGTCAGATAAACAAGGGGAAGCGCAGCTGACACTGGGAGTATGCCCTCCACTCAGGTGTGTGTGCGTCTGTGCCCATGGGCCTGCCTGATGGCCCGTGTCCCCTCTGTCAGGAGCAGGCTTGCATCTGCGTGATGGGGGCCTGTCTCCTCTTGCTACACACAGACTTGTACAGGCACTTTCTCCATCATGGCTCCGTGAACGCAGCTCCAGGAGCAGGGACACTAGGGAGGGTGTCGGGAGCGCTCGCTCTCCCTCCGTCACGTCTGGGTGGTGACCATGGCCGCATTTTGGGGTGCACGTGAGGTGGTGTGGGCTGGGCCGGACCTTGAACTTTGCTTCAGCCCTGTCGGAAGTACAGAGCCTGGGCAGCCAGACCATCCAACGAGACCTGGCCCGCGTTGTCCCCTCGGGGCTGCTCTCAGTGGGCTCCTGGGGTGGAGTGCCCTCTCTTCTCCACCCAGGAGTGTCCCACGGGTGGCTGAGCCTGCTTCCTTTACTGTCTGATTCTCAAGGTGGCTCTTGATGATGGGTTGGGAAGGTGCCTGCAGCCCCGTTTGGCCCAGCGGAGCTGGCCCTGGTGCCACAGCACACGGTTCAGGGCTGCAGTGTGACCTGAGCCCTTATCTCTCAGGAACATTGAGGAAATCCTGGCAGCCCGAGGGGAGCTGGTGCGCCGGGTGGCCAGTGATGGTGCCCTGGAAGGGGTCTTGGAGGCTGTGGTGGCAGCCCCGTCCGCTGCTGCCCCAGGAGAGGGTGAGGACAAGGACTCCACGCACCCTGGCAAGTCAGAGCCAAGCTGACCTTCCCTCCCTCCCTCCCTCCTGTGCGCCAGGGACTTGCCGTTTCTGCCTCCAGAGACGCTTTGGCCTGGTCTTGGTCAGTAAACAGCTCACTCAGACTCCAGGCTGGGGCTCTTGTGTTCCCGTCTTTTCTGGGGTCCCATTCCCCCTCACATCCCTGGGCTGCTGGGCACCTGCAGCTGTGCGGCCACAGCGAGTGGACTGTGCACCTCAGACCAGAAGGATGGGAAAAGGACGGGGCAGGCACGGGCGGCCAGCAGGCTCTCTCCTTCAGCGACCCCGCCGGGCAGCCTGGGGAGAGCCCACCGACCCTCCTCCCCTTCCCCTTCCCGCCTCACAGCCGCCAGTGGAACAGTGTGTGACCCACCGCACACCACCAGGGTCGCGACCGGCAGACGGGGGGGGGGTGCGGGCAAGGGGCCGGCCCCTCTCTGGCGATGGTGGGGGCGCACCTCCAAGGTCGGGCGGGTGTCGTTCGTCTCCGCTGTTTGACAGCGGGCTCAGGATGTTGCTGTTTACAAGAGCAAGTCTATTCCTGGAGTGTTCTGGGCTGTGTGATCAACGCACGTCCCGGCCACAGGGAAGAGTGCAGTAGTGGGCGGGGGGCTTAGGTGGTTGTTCCCCAGTGTCACCGCCCGTGGAGCTGGGGCTGGGAGGCTGGGGGCGCATGTATTGTTCCTGCTGCCTTTGCAGCGTACGCTCTGACTCAGTTAACGCCCTTGCCTGTGGAGCAACCCGCTATTATCCCACCCAAGCCGCTGTGTGTTGGGAGCCTGTCCTTGAGCTGGCCCCCGCCGCCCCGCCTCCCACAGAGGCACTGGGACCACGGCACTGACTGGAGGTCTCCTCCGTCCTGGGAACACGGGTGTGTGGTGGCTGAGCTATCCCGGTGTTTGGTTGGTTCCTGGGAACTTGGGACACAGGCCCGAGAGCTGGCTGCACCTAAGGGCTGCCCAGACCAGCCCCTCCTTTGTGGAAAGGGAAACAGGCCTGGGCTCCTGGTCCCAGGGCTCCTGGTCCGAGACTGGGTAGGCCCCTCTGGCCTGAGTTCACCAGCCTTGGGCTTCCTCCCACCTCTCTCCCTTGGGCCCTCGTCCCTCTCCCTGTGCAGTTCAGGGTGCCTTCTGCACCTGGGGCCAGCCCCCGTGATTTCATGGCTGGTGTTGCCGCGTGTGGTTTGCAGGGAATGAGAACAGATGTGGCCGGGCAGCACCCCGGAGCAGCCTGCCTCGCTGCAGGAATACTCAGCCTTGACCCCACGCGCCTCGGCGACAACTCGCCATCAAGGGCTTGGCAGACTCACCCCGCTGCAGAGCCCATTCCCTCTGAGGGCAGAAACCACTGTCGGCGGTGCCTCGGGCCCGCTCTCTGCCTGTCCGCCAGCCCTGCACCCCTTGGCCAGCTCAGCAGGAAAGGCGGCCCCTCGCCGGCCCTGGACACCCCCCCCCCAGCCTCGCTTCTGGGAAGGGCTGTGCAAGATCCCCGTCCCCACTGCTGTGGTCTGGCCCGCCTCCATGCCTCGTCCCGGCTACCCAGCACTTCCGGGACACAGCCTCCTAGTCACTCTGCAGCCCCTCCGGCCCCTGACGGGTGGGCTGCACTGCCGTGTCCTGCTCACCCACCTCCTCCCACCAAGTCCCAGGCCTCATTCCCTTCTGGCCCTTGTGTCTCTGCACACCAGCCCCAAGCTGTGTCCTGTCCCCTGCCCCACTCCCATATAGGCTGAGGCAGGAGACCTCAACCTTATCTATGTCCTCATCCCTTGGCGTGTGGAGGGCCCACAGAGGGGTAGCTGTGGCTGCGTGACGTCCCAGGGCATCAGGACAGCGTACGTGCTCCGCAGGCGTGTGTGGTGGCGGGCAGGAGGCAGGCTGCACCATTTCCATCCTGGGGTCTGGCAGGGTGTGTGGTCAGGACCGGCACTGGCTGGCCATGGGGGTGCAGCGCTGCTGGCACTCACCTGCCCTTGGCCATGTGGGGGCTGGGGGGTATTGGTCCCTGGTCTTTGAGCCACTCACCATGGTCAGGACCAGCCTCAGGGCTGCCACGCTGCCCTAGTAGCACCCTACAGCCTCTCCTGGGATTTTGAGGCCCCCGGGGTACACAGGAAGGCAGTGGGCTCAGCCCACTGGGGCTTCGTGGGTTTTGGGTAACCTGGAGGGCCTAGGGACCCCACTCACGCCTTCGTGAGTCCAAGGAGGCCTTGTACGTTGCTGCCCCCATGGGGGTGTGAGGGTGAGGGGCCGTGTGGCCAAGCACTCGCTGCAGACGAGACGGCCCACGCCCACACCCCCGGCTCACCCCAACACAGCAGCCTCAACCAGGTAGGCTTTATTTTTTCCAGAAAAACGAAAACAAAGTGTCTGCCGGGCTGGAAACAGCCTGCTAACATGGCGGCCCCACGGGCAATAAATACATGTGTACATTCAAGTATGGGGCACGGCCCAGGTGGGGAGCCCGAGGCCCCCCTTCACCCCTGCCCCTCCCTCGGTATGCTGTCCCCCATCAGGCTGCTGCCTGAGCCTGGGACTGGCCCTCAGCAACCCCTCACCCCAGAGTGGCTACAGGCCACACTGGCACCACTGCGGACATGGGCCCCCACACCATGACTTGGACAGGGGTTGGGAGGAGCAGATGCCAGGGCCACTAAGGGCCTGCCGTAGTGCCTGGCGCCCCTTTCTGTGCTCCGTGTGTGGTGTGGAGGGGATGGGGCCGTGGCCCCACCTCTACGGCCACGCCCCCACTTGGCTCGGTGTCAGCGTAGCCCTTGCTACCCACCCACCAGGGTCGTGCCCAAGATCAGGCCCTGAACTCACCAGGCTGAGGGGTGTGGAGGGGCTCATAGCTGCTGCTGGACACCCCCCCACACGTCCCCCACCTTAGGGAAGCAGGCTGAGCCGGGGTCTTTGGGGGCTGGAAGGCTGGGCCCAGGGCTCTGGAGGGGGCACACCACTTCCTCTGCTCTGGGCCAGACTCGGGCCTGCCAGCCCTGGTGGGGCAGGCCCTCCTTGTGGCACCCCAGTCACCCCTGTCCATTCCAGGGGCCGAGCTCCATCCAGGATGGAAAAGCCCAGCCAAAGCCCCAGCAGAGGTGTCTGACACACCTGGCACCTGGGACGGGGGCAACATTACGCTCCCCGGTGACCTGCAAGGGGCCCAGCTGGGCAGGAGCAGGGTGGGCGGGTGGGCCTGCAGGAGGGGTATGGCCTCCCTCATCCTGGCAGCCCCTGGCCTCAGCCTGCCATCCAGAGAGGGGCCATGTGGGGTCACAGACCCGTGTCTGGTCAGCAGGAAGGGCCTGGGGGGGTGGCTACAAGCTCCTCAGGATGGTTTGGCTTCTTGGGGCCAAGGGCATCTGTGGGTGATGGGAGCCCCCAAGTTCAGGGACAGGGCAGGGTGCACCTGGCTGTGTGGGAGGAGGGCATGCCAGCTGGGGCCAGACCCTTAGCTGGTGCCGGGCGGGCCCTGCTGCTGGGCTTCGGGTGGTGCGGGGGCCTCCTGCTCAGGGCTGCCGGCGAGGTCCACCCGCTGCTCGTCCATGCGCTTGGCCTGCACCCTCTGGATGAGGCTGAAGAAGTCCTCGTCGGGCACGGTGGGGCCTCGGGGCAGCACCGCGGGCGGCAGGCAGCGCTGGTCGTCAATCCTGGAGGACTGGGCAGACACCGCGGAGTCGGGGCCCTGTCCGTCTGGCCCGTGACGGCCCATGCTGTGCCCTGGACCCAGGAGCTGCGCCGGCCGCAGCCCAGGGGCTCAGGCGGGCCTGGGGGGAGCTCATGTGGTGCGGGACCCCAGGGACAGCCTGTGAGGCCAGGGCCCTGAGCCTGGTGTCCCAGGAGCCGACAGGGTGTGGCCAGCCATGGCACTCCACGGGAGGCCAGAGTGCCTGGCCAAGCCTGCTTGCTGGACGCTGTCCCTGGGCAGGCTGGAGACCCAAGGTCCCCCTCAGGTCAGGCAGCGGGGGCAGAAACAGCGCGGGGGCGTCTCCGCAGGGCCTGGAGCCAGAGGTGCGGGAGCTGGCGCAGCCGCCGGAGGGTGCGTGCGTGTGGTGGGTCCGGCCGGGGGCGTCCTCCCCTCTGTGGGAATGACAGCCAGCTCTGCACACCGCCCACAACAGGCCCTTGCTGGAGGGCTCCGGAGCCCTGTCCTGGTGCTGGGTGGGTGGGCCCGACGCCACGCAGCTCGTTCCCTTCCGTTCTGGAGGAGGCGTTCTGGCTGCCACAGCACTAGGGGCTCTGTGCAGTGGTGGGCTGCACCCCACCTGGACTCTGACTCCCTGACTGGCCCGCCACCCTCCAACACCTGGCCGGGTGCCCTACCTCACTCCCCTCGGTCTCCAGCCCGCCAGCTGCTCCCAAGGCCTGGGCCCAGCTGCCCCTCCTCCAGGCTACCTCCAGCTGCCCAGCCTGGAGTCCCTGCCCTGTCCGCACTGGGCACCCTGGTTGTCCTGTCCGGCTGTGCAGGCCAGGGCCCCAGGGCCCCGCTGAGCCCTCTACTCCCAGCTCCTGCAGCGGGAGAGGCATCGCGTCTAGGCATGCTCAGGGCGCCTGCGTGCTCCACCAACCAGCCCCCACCATGGCGGAGGGACAGGTGGCCCGAGGCCCCGCCTACCTGGCACTTGATGAGCATGTTGAAGAACTCGTCCCCGGGCTCGGGGGGCTCGCCGTCCCCACACAGGTGGCCCAGGTTGTTGTGGGTGATACGAAGCCCGGGCAGGCTGCCCACGCTGGCCCGCTGGTCATCCAGCCGGCGGCTCTGAGAGCTGGCAATGAGGTCAAAGAGCTCCTCAGTCTGCGGGGAGGCCGTCAGCGAGGACTGGGCTGTGGGGACGGGCGGTGACATGAGCCTGGGGCCCGCGGAGCAGCAGGGGCGCAGGGGCGGCACACTCTGGGCCCGGGGTACACGGTCATACTAGGACATAGGCGCACGTGGTAAATGCGACCAGGGGCTCCCTGCAGACCCTGTGGCCTGACTTCTGGCCTCGGTGAAGCCAGCTCTGCCCCACCCCTCAGGCAGGGGTATCTTTGCTGAGTGCCCCAAGGCCTGGTGGGCCCCTCTCGCCCCCAGGCTGTCAGGAGGTGACAGGAGGGGCGGCCTCACCTCCCACGCCTGCCCCGGGCCCTGACGTGCTGTTCCGGAGGGTGGCTGGCTAATTACACGCTTGCCCAGGTTGCAGCCTGACATAGCTGGGGCCCAGTGGGAGGGAGGGGTGGCTCCCATGAGGAGGGGCGCTTTGCAGTGATCTACACAGGAACCCGAGGCCAGCCCCATAGTCTCCCTGGTGGGCTGCGCAGCCTGCTGGGCCGGGGGGCTGGCGGCTCACCGATGCACTCCTCCAACGTGGGGGCGGCCCCAGCCTGGCCGTCCTCCAGGGGACAGCGCTGGTCATCCATGCGGCTGCTCTGTGACTGGCTGAGCAGGTCAAAGAAGAACTCTTCGTCCGAGGACAGGGTCCGAGGGAGGTTCTGGAGGCGGGGGCCAGTCAGCGCCTGTGCCAGGACACCTGGCCCTGGCCCGAGGGTCCAGCCACCCCTCCCCACGCCTGCTCCTCCTCACTGCCAGCCTGGCAGATGCACTGAACTGCACAGGCCCCTGCTGAGCAAAGGCTGAGCAGACAGACCTGGGGCCACTGGACTGCGTGACCCCTAGTCCCCACGGCAGGTGAGGGACAGGACAGCTGTCACCCGAGGGCACGCACGGCAAGTGGCAGGGCCAGCCTTGGATGGCCTGGCATCAGGGCCTCCAGAGGAGACCCAGCTAAGGGCCTGACCCAGGCTACAGGGTACAGCATCTGGGGGCCGCACGGGGCCCGTCCTGCCTTGGCATGCAGACAGGTGGCACCATGGAGGTGAGACCCTGCACCAGCTGGGGCTCTCGGGGCGCCCCGTCCCCTAGAGCTGGCAGGAGGCTCCAGTCTAGGAGGCCCCGCCCACCCTAGCTGCCAGGAGGGGGTGCATTGAGGGGCCAGAGCCCTACAGAGAGGATGGCTTGGGTGTGTGTCCCTGAACACTGGAATGGGTGGGGTGTGGGGGGAGTCGGGGGCACCAGGAATGGAAGCCTCATGGTCCAGAAGGGAAGACTGATCCAGGGTGCCTGGGGCTCAGCCACGTGGGGTGGACACAGCCATCCCCCACTTGGAGGGACAGTCACACCCCGGCCTCCACATCCCACCTGCAGGTGGGCTCCGTCAGGTGACCCACGACCCCCATGAGGCAAGACCTTGGGGAGCTGAACTCACTGGCCCACGTGCCAACTCCTTTACCCTAAACCCTGGCTCTTTGCTTGCCGGAGGTCTCAGGTTCTTCCTGAAGTCTGACCCCAGGCTCTCCTGCTTTAGTTTAACCCCACTAAGGAAGAGACACAAGGCACGGGACTGCCCCCTCCAGCTGCCTCAGGTGCCCTGCGACCCAGGGTGGGGGCAAGAGACTGCTGGAACTCAGGCCCCACAGTACCAGCCCCACAAGGCTGCCAGGAGCTGACTGCCCACCCGCCGACCACCTCCCCGGTTCCACTGGCCCCCCACAGACCGCTTACCCACCCACCTGCCCTGCCGACCGCTCCCACCCCACTGACCACCTGCCCTGCTGACCGCACCCCCACCCTGCTACCTCTCACCCACCCCTTACCTACTGCCCTCTCCAGCCCAGCCCAGCCCAGCCCCTCAGGGGCTCAGAGCCCATGGAAGGCTCAAGTTGCACCTAGCAGAGCCCGTGCCCCATCTAGGACTCCCTGCAGGACCCACACTCACATCGGGAGCCAACGCAGGATGCTGGGCAGGACGCCAAGGGCTCCCGCCTGCTGCCACCGCTGTGCCTGCCTCACTCCCGGCCCGCCAAGCTGCTAGTCCGGGGTTTAAACAGAAGCCCCGGGACGAGAACGCCCAGGCCCCGCCCTCACCCTTGCGGCTTCTCAGCGTGTGTACGCGTGCACACACATGCACACACACACACACGCTCTCATAGGCACACGTGCTCATCAAACAGCGAGGTGGATCCCGGCCCACAGCTGGTCTGGCACTCAGCCTGCAGGACAGCGACAGGATCCTGCCTGAGCTCCTGAGGGCCCTGGCTTCTTCCCAAAGGCCATCAGCCCAGGAGAACCCCCATGTCTCTGGGGCAGGGGCTGCAGGAGCTGACAGGGTCCTTGGCCTCACAGTGTGGTCTGAACTCCACTGCCATCGGGCTGAGTGGCCTGTTACCACAGCCACTGGTGAGCCCCCCCCCACTGGGCTGAGCCCCTCAGTCCCCAGCGCCATTGGGCCCCCACTGTCATCTGGCTGAGTGGTTTCCAAGAGAAACAGGCTGGTAAGGCTGGTGGGCATCCAGGCCCCTCCCACGGTCCCACTGGCCACTGCGGCTGCTTGTTGTGTCCCTACCCCACATGACGGACAGTGACAGCCCCAGGGTGAGGCCGGCGCCCACCATGCCCCCAGCCCACACTCCCAGCAGAACTCTGGGAGAGGACAGATGGGGGAGGTGCTTTGTGTTGGTTGTCTTTTCGGGGAGACTTTAAAAATAGCCCTCCTGCGGGGAGGCTGGTGCAGCTGAGGGGTGCAGTGAGTCACAGCAAACAAAGGTCCCTGAGGCAGCTGGGGGTGCAGCTCCGGGCCCGCCCCCCGGCTTGCTCCCCGAAGAGCCCGGTGTGTGTTCCGGTGCGAGGGCTGTCCGTCTGCACACAGGGGCACCCGCGCTGCTGTCCTGACCTTCCATCAGGGCTGGCCTGTGTCGGGCGCTCAGCTGCTGTGCAGCCCTGGGCACACAGGTGCTGGTGAGGGTTGCTGGCCGAGTGCAGGCCAGGCCCCTTCCGGCTCCGAAGCCCTCTGTGGCTCCCTAGTGCTCCCGCGGCTGAGGCCGTCCAACCCCCTCCCCCCACACTCCCTGCTCTTCCTCCAGTGAGGCCCATTCCAGACACCCAACCCTGCCCAGCCCAGCCCAGCTGGTCCCCACCCTTTGGGGCAGCCCTGTCCTGCTCTGCACCCTGCCCCAAGATGAGGTCTCTGGGCCCCTCACGGCCAGGTGCCTCCTCGCACCCGAGTCCCCGTCTGTGTTGGCTGAGAGACCCCTGCACCACCTGGGCTCTGAAGGGGCTGGGAGAGGGGACGGGCGAGGCTGGCCTCTCAGCAGTCACTTTACAGATGAGGAGCCAAGGCTCAGGGTCTTCTCTCAAGGGCCCCAACAGAGTGGAGGGAGCCCAGGCACCATGTCAGGCCAGCCTCGCCGCCAACCCTGCCAGCACTGGGCCATGGTCTCCCGACTCCTGGTGCTCGGGTCCGCCCGGTGGCTGGCCCTCGGCTCCCCGTGACCAACCCCAGCTGAGCTCCAAGGCCAGCTCTGCTGGAAGGTGGGGGTGGGGAGGCCCTGCCCTCAGGGCCCCACGTACCGCTCGAGGCATCTGCACCCGGACGTCTGCGCTGTCCAGTGGGGAGTGGCTACCCTCCCGGGGCCTCCGCTCAGTGGCGTCCGGCCCCTCCTGGTACTTCCTGCTCCTTACCGGCAGGGGGAGCGAGTCCCGGCTTGGCCCCCGCCAGTCCCCCGCGTGGTGGCTGTCTCCATTCTGCTCCTGGGGAGGGGAATGTCCAGATGTGGGCCCCCCTAACAATTCCCACAGAACATCTCCCCCCACCAGACCCTTTGGGGAAGGCAGGCAGGCACCCCAGAGGATGGACATAGGAGGCAGGTCCCAGGTCCCAGAGGAAGGGCAGGCCGGCAAGGGTGAAGGCTGGCATGGAGGGGCACCGGGAGCGTGCCTGGGACTAGTGCTTTAGGTGAGCCCCTCAGCCATCCTGCAAGTCACCTTTCTCATGCTAAGCCTAGGTGGCGCTGACAGGACGTGCCTGAGCTTTGTGCAACACCAGGCACAGGTGTCCACGAGACCCAGGTGCACACAGGCTCAGGGGGGGAGGCCAGGAGAGACAGCACCCCTGCAGCCTGCAGGCAGCGCCAGCCCAGGGCCCCCAGCCCGCTGACGCCTGGCGCTCTCCACTTGTGGCGGCTCCGAGGGACCTCTGGGAGACAGAGCCCAGTGAGCAGAGTTGCCGTGCCTGTCCATGGTCCACCAGAAAACGCCACCCGGCTGCTGGGTGAGGACCCGGGGGGTCTGCAAAGCCTTGGCCCCAGGGAGGACACCGGGCAGGGGGTGTTGGTGTGCAGGGGAGCACGGCAGATGGGCCCCCCTGGACCCGGCACTTACGGCCATCGTCTCGGGGAAGGCGGGACAGAGTGGAGGCCACTGAGCAAACACTGGGGTCAGGGGACACCCAGCCCACCCGCCCTCCCCTGCTCACCCGCTCCAGGGGGGGCCTCAGCAGGTCCCAAGTCTCTGAGCTCAGTCGCTGTGTCCTCTTGGGCCTGGCTCCTGGAAGACAGTGGAGCCTGGTCACCCCAGCACCCCGTCCTGTGCCTCAGGCCCCACCCCACCCTGTGGAGCCCAGGGTCACACAGCCAGCCACCTCGGGCCACAGGAGGGCCTCTTCAAACGGCACGATCCCTGTGAGGCAAATGTGGTGTCCCCATGGCCTCTGGCACCCCTAGGGGGAGGCCTGGCCCCGTTGCTCAGCCTGCCCTTGTCTGTCCTGGAAGGCTTGGGCCCTGGCTCTCCCCACACACGCCTCGTGCGTCCCCGCTTAGCCTGTGCTGTCCCCCTGCCTAGAACGCCCTTCCCGCGGCCTCTAGGAAGCTCCGTCACTGCTAACCGAGGCTTCCCCGACTCTGCCTGGAGGCAGGTAGGCTGCACCTAGGCCTCTGCCTCCTCGCCCACCGTGAGCCCAGGTGCCAGGTGGGAGAGGCAGGAGGGGGAAAGGGGTGCAGGGGTGATGAAGCCTCAGAAAGGCCCAAGGCAAGCCCACCTGAGAGGCTCCCCAAGCTCTGGTCCAGGGCACAGCGTGGGGTGGGCAGGCTGGGGGCGCAGCAGCACCAGGACCCCACCTCCTCCAGTCACAGCTGTGGACACCCCACCGCCAGCCCCCAGCGTGTGCTGCTCGCCTGCACCCGACGAGGGGACCCCTGCCCGGGAGTGAAAGGGGCCTGGGGCCCAGCGGGGCACGCTCCTGAGGCTCCCCACTAGGGGGACCGAGAGCAAGGGGCAGATGAGTACGTATGTGACAGAGACAAGATGTGAAGAGACCCTGGGAAAGAGGCTGTGGGGTACCCCTGCAGGAGCTTTGGGGATGGGGACCCCAGGAGAGACTGTGGGATGACCCTGGGAGGGAGGCTGTGGGGTGAGAGGACCCCAGGAGAAGCTGTGGGGTGAGGACCCCAGGAGAGGCTGTGGGGGGGCCAGGAGGGAGGCTGTAGGATGAGGGGACCTGGGAGGGCGGCTGTGGGGTGAGGGGACCCCAGTAGAGACTGTGGGATGACCCTGGGAGGGAGGCTGTGGGGTGAGAGGACCCCAGGAGAGGCTTTGGGGGGGGACCTGGGAGGGAGGCTGTGGGGTGAGAGGACCCCAGGAGAGGCTTTAGGGGGGGACCTGGGAGGGAGGCTGTGGGGTGAGAGGACCCCAAGAAAAGCTGTGGGGTGAGGGGACCCCAGGAGAGGCTGTGGGGGACCTGGGAGGGCGGCTGTGGGGTGAGGGGGCCCCAGGAGAGGCTGTGGG